TCTCTGCTGGCTGCCCTGGGCACCCAAAACATACTGCTGGGGAGGGGCGCATGACAGCTCTTGTGGCTTCCCCTTTCTTCCCTGTCAGAAAGTCATTTTTCTGCGGGGAAGCAAAGAAATCTGTGGGGGACATAAATTCTGCACATGCGCAGTGGCACAGAATTCCCCCAGGAGCAAAGTGTAGTACCTGTTCTTATCTGTTTAATTGATGTATGATACCCCATTTTAATTGTTTGTACCTTCAGGCCAATGGAAGAAAAGCTTTTTATTTTTTATTTTTATTCCAACGTATTTTAAATATTCAACAAACAGAAAAATATAGGTTTGTTAGCAGGTAGAATTGGTCTTATTATTTCTGGACAGATTTTGGAAGGCCTTTGTTACATTTAAAAAAACAAAACCTGTGATATTGCTAGGCAAGTCAATATCTTTCAGACTTACGCTTGCTGAACTACTTTACCATAAATTAGTGACTCCATACTTTTTTGTTATCTTTCATTGTTATTGTGTCTTTCTCTTTTGTGTGCGTAATTAGTTAATATAAATTAATATTAATATAATAGACAAAAAATTATGAAATATAATGGAAGATTAGAGTAACTTGGTTGTCAGCTTCAAAGACCCAAGTCACAAATTCCTAAGTTGCTAGGTTGAGCTGCCTATCGCTTCCTGGCTCTCCGAGCTCTGGTCAAGTGAAAAAATATCTCAAGTGGTTAGGGGGCACTAGTCTGAGTATAAAGAATCAGTTCCAACAGTGAACTCACCAAAAAATAAATAATGTAATGACATACTAGGTTATTGATTTTAAGTGGGCGGAAAAATTGAGTCCTCTTTGAAGATTTGGTGACGCTAAGAGCACCAGAGTCGTTCACCTCTGTAATCCAGAGTTCAAATTTGATGGAAACCATATGGTATGGTCTTTCTTTTGGGATGTGGACAAATGTCCCTTAGAAACTAGTCTAACAGTTTGTCGTATTGAATTATGATTGGTGGTTATTATTAAGAAAGAGGCCCAGACGTGGAAAAGCAGGGCTGCTGCTAGTCAGGGACTGAGGTACATTGACACAACTTCATGGGAATGGGATAACTGACAGTGCATTGTGTGCTGCACTCTGCTAGATTTATCCAGTTCTATCCGCCTTCCTTTTGTCATTCTAAAATTCACTAGATTTACTCCTAAAAGCTACTAGACGGAACGGAAACCCCGACCATAGCTCTGTGGGTCCAGTCGTGTTCCTGTTATGGTCGTTGTGAGCAGGACTGAGACCTGCACTACTTAGGAGTATTTTTAAATACTATTTTTGAGAAATATATCCTTTGTAAGCAATGTCTTTTTGCCTAAGACCATAAATATGTGTGACCAGCCTTCAGCATGGCCTGTCCATTATAGTTCAAGGTTTGTTGTGTTTTTGTGGATTTGACAAAAGAATACAAAAGAACTTTTGATGCATCAGAAGTCACGCCAAATAGCAGATGAGTCCAGTTACTTCAAACATCATGCCTCATAGTTAGAAATGATGAAATGTTTGTTTTTTCTCAGGAACAATGTTTATAGAGGACTCTGATTCACCATGTCATTTTAATATTTTATACAATGTTCTAAACATACCCAGCACTTACAAAACATCTTTAAAAAAGAAAACTTAAAGAAAAGATAAAAACAGGTTAATTGTGGTGCATTTGGGGTTCTTCCAGATTAATAATTAAAATAGATTAATATGGAGGACACAGTTTACGTGTAAAGTAATTACTTTTTGTTTAGAGCAGTGGGTGTTTCTTTTATGCTAAGAAAAAAGCTAAAGCAATGTGGTTAATATTTAGCTAGTGTTCTGTTACCTGACACCTGCACGTGTTGTGAATAGTATACTTTATGATTAGGCATTTTACAGATTGCAAAGAAATTTACTGTTTAGAATTTCCCCCATATCAGTTGCTGATACTGTGGAAGAATCAACAGTTTTGCTGGGATGTTGATGAGCTTGCCCTCCGGTCGAACTGAGGCTTTAGTTTCTCATTACACGTGTCTTTCCCCTGTACATTTGAGGTGCAATAGAATGCAAAGTGATTGAGACCAACAAAGCTAGGCCACCCATTGTCTTGTTCTATTACAGGGTGGCCAAACTTACTGACCCTCCCAGCCACATGCAACTATCTTCAGAAGTTCAAGAGCCAGGGCGTGCCTGCTGGGGCTCAGGGCTTCAGCTCCACTGCGGGGTGGTGGGGCTAGGGGCTTCAGCCCTTCAGGGAGGGGAGTCTTGGGGCTTCAGCCCTGCGAGAGGTGCCTGCCCAGGCTTGGGGCTTCAGCCCCACTCCTGCGAAGCCCCGAGCCCCGGCAGGTGCATCCTGTGGAGCTGAAGCCCCGAGACCCCCCTCCCCGCTGGGCAGAAGCCAGAGGCAGTGTGTGTGTGGCGGGGGGGGGAGGATGTAACCCCATGTGCTCCCTCAGATTTTTGCTAAGGTTTGCTGGCCATGCTCGGTCTTTTGGTGCCACCAGGCCTCCTCTGCACAACAGTTGCTGGTGCCAGCAAGCTGGGAGCTGCGGCTGTGGGGAGAGCCAGTGGCAAACAGCTGGGAGCAGCAGGGAGATCCCTGCTCTAGGTGCTAAAGCAGCAGCAGCACCTCCTTGCAGCTCCCAGCTGTTTGCTGCTGCCTCTCCATGTGGAACTAACACCTGTGAGCTGCAGGGAGGGGCCGCTGAAGGTAAGAGGGGGTCATGCCGGAGTGGGGAGGGGGGATGATTCAAGCTGTTGGGTGGGAGCCTTTAAATTGTGCCCACCCTCCCCCCGGTAGGCACCAGTCGTCTCTGGCAGAAGCCCCTAGTCCCACCCCGCCGGGCAGAAGTCTCCCCCACTCCCCGCACCCCCCAATCTGGGCAGGGAATGGTGGGGGCAATGGGGAGGCTCCGTGAGCTGCACTTGAACTGTAAAAGAGCTGCATGTGGCTCGAGAGCTGCAGTTTGGCCACCCCCAGTCTATTAAAGGGACTCCAGGGTTATTGTTGGTTGGGATATTGTTGGCTGGTGTTTCTCCTCACTAGCAGGTTTCGAGCCCTCTTCCTTCCTAACATTCCCTCCATAGACAGGCATACTGCCTCCAGCCATGTGTTCAGAGGTGAAAGTAAGCCGGTCCGGTCCGGTACAGCGTACTGGTAAGAGCCGGTACATAGCCAACTGTACCGGCTGGGCTGCTGCTGATGGGGGCCAAAAGCTGGAGCCCCTGGCCCTTTAAATTGTTGCCAGAGTCCCAGGGCTCCCGGCCTTCGCTAACACTACCATGGGGCTCTGGCAGTGATTTAAAGGTCCTGGAGCTCCCGGCCACTGCTACCGCACCAGCAGCTGGAGCCCCGGGTCCTTTAAATCGCTGCTGGAGCCCCAGCCCCACCGCTTCCGCCCGAGGCCCTGCCCCTTCCGGTCTCCCCAACTCCCGGCTCAGGACCCTTGGGAGCCAAAAAAATACCGCGTTATAGGTGAAACTGCATTATATTGGACTTGCTTTGATCCACCGGAGTGCGCAGCCCCCCCCCCCCCCCCGGCGCACTGCTTTACCGCGTTCTATCCCGAATTCGTGTTATATCGGGTCGCGTTATATTGAGGTAGAGGTGTACTTTCACCCCTGCGTGTGTTCTGCTTCTCACCTCCAAAGCCACTCTACTCCTCCCAGATCACGCACCCTACCTGTACTTTCCAGCCCCCAGGATTTAGCTGCCTCTAAGGCATTATGTGTAGAGCTGGATTACATTTGGGTTGGAATTTTGCCTGGAAATGCATTTTTGGAGTTCCAAACTATTTGTAAATTTGGGTTGAATTCAGTTTGACTACGTTTTGTGCGAGGAAAAGCCTTGAAAACAAATTTTGGAAATGTCAAAATGAGCCAGTTTGATACTTGGTTTCAAATCAGATTTTTTTAAATGTCGCTTTGAAACAATATTCAAAATATTCATTCACCCCAAGCAAATGTTTTTAGTGTTTTTGCTTCGCAAAAAATGAAAAACATTTAGTTTTGGTTTCAAACAAAACAATTTTTTTTGGGGGGGGGGGGGTTCAGCTACCGAATCAAAAAATCAATGATTTGCTAAATGTACTGTTATCTGTTGCAGAAAACCTCTTATTCTGCTCAGTTTGGGTCTGGAGAAAACCAGATGCCTTTCTTTGCCTGGGCAGGAATGCTTGACCAAGGGAGTGAAGCCCCTTCCTCTGTCTTTGTGTACAGTATCCTGTTTACATGCTGGACTCCCAGCCATGCTCTTCCTCTAGGGCCATATGGAGCAGGAGCGAACTCTAACAAGCAGTGCAAATGACTCATTCACATAAGTGAGACAACTTCCTCAGTTCCCAAGTTGTCTTCCTGATGCAGACTCACTTTGTCTGCTGCTTTTTGCAAAAGATGGGCTCCCATCCAACCCACTCCTGAAAGCACACTTCAACTGTGAAAACCTGCTCAGTGAGATTTAAATATAACTGGTCAATTTTTTTTTTCAACTTTAAAAATGTTTCAAGAAGGGGAAAATCCCCCCATAACCCTCCCAATTCAGGGTGGGGTTTTTTATCCATTCTAGTTTTGAGTTGCCTTCTGCGGGTCACATTGGAAGGCTTGTCAGCAAGTTTTATTTTTTAAAAAAAATTCTATGCTTATAATAACTTTGAAGAGAGATACTGTCCTACTTAGTATTACTTTTGTTAAGTGAACCCTTCTGGTCTTTCCAAAACACTCTTGTTTCAAAACACTACTTGTAGGAGTCTTTCATGGAATTGAAATCAGTTACGTGTATATCTTTTCAGTCATTTATTTCTTTTCAGCATTACTGAAGTTCTGGAGAATAAATGTTTGTTTCAGATAATCTTCCCAATAAGCACTGAAGTTCTGTGGCATGAAGCCAGATTGTGTTTACTGATCATGCTGCTGATATAAATGGAACTTTCCCTTATATCTATCCATGCGTGTGAGAGAGGAGATAAATAATGTATTTGTCATAAAATATGTGCTTTTTGTTTCCTTCGAAAGGATGAAGAAGAAGAAATCAAACTGGAGATAAATATGCTAAAGAAATATTCGCATCATAGAAACATTGCAACTTATTACGGTGCTTTCATTAAGAAAAGTCCCCCAGGACATGATGACCAATTGTGGGTAAGCTGACGTTTCCCCAGCATGCTCGTAGGCTTTTCCCCTTTGGTTGTAATTTGAGGACAACAGAAAGATCATATTGGGAAAACAACATTAATGAAATGTGGTGTTTTATGAAGGTTGTTTTATTATAAATCACCCAGGCTGATTGTGCAGCCTTAACAAGAAAATCAATCTAAAATTTGCTATTAATGTTTAATTCGCTATGTAATGTTTAATTCACCATGAAAATCTTAGATGTCTGTACACAAGGAGTATGCAGAATATACAGGAAGACCTGAAAGTATTAGAATGTAAGCTAAATTATGACTTATTTGGTGTATCAGAGACTTGATGGGATAAGTCTCATGACTGGATAATTGGTATAGAAGGGTATGGCTTGTTCAGCAAGGACAGACATGATAAAAAGGGGAAGTGTTGCATTGAACACGAAGTGTATATATACACTTGTGCTGAGGTCCAGAAGGAGGTGAGAAGTAGACCAGTTGAAAGTATCTTGGTAAAGATAAAGGGGTAAAAAATAAATAGGGCTGACGTCCTGGTAGGTATGTAGTTAGACCACCAAATCAGGAAGAGGAGGTGAATGAGGCATTCTTAGAACAAACAGAAATATTTAAAACGTAAGACCTGGTAGTAATGGGGAACTTAAACTATCCAGACAACTGTTGGAAAAGTAATATAGCAAAACACAAAATTTTCCGGTAGGTTCTTGAAATATATAGGGGACAACCTTTTGTTTCAGAAAGTGGAGGAAGTAACCAGGGGGACAGCCGTTTTTGACTCTATTCTGGTCAACAGGGAGGAACTGGTAATGAATATGAAGGTGGAAGGCAATTTGGGTGAAAGTGATTGTGGAATAGTAGATTTCATTATCCTAAGGAAAGGAGGGACTGAGAGCAGCAGAATAAGGACAATGGACTTCAAAAAAGCAGACTTCAACAAACTCTGAGAACTGATAGGTAAAGACGTATGGGAAGCAAATGGATAAAGAAGTTCAGGATAACTGCCAGTTTGTCAAGGAGACAATATTAAAGGCACAACTGCAAACTATGCAAAGGAAAAATGGGAAGAATAGTAAGGCCAATATGGCTCCATCAGCAGATCTTTAATGACCTGAAAGTCAAAAAGGAATCCTATTAAAAAAAAAAAAATGGAAACATGGACAAATTGCTAAGGAGGAGTACAAAAGGATATAACTAGCATGTAGGGAGAAAATCAGAAGGGCTTGAAGAAGAAGAAGTAATAATAATAATAATGAGTTACGCCTAGTAAGGGACCTAAAAGATTCTTTAAATACATTAAGAGCAAGAGAAAGATGAAGTAAAGTATAGGTCCTGTAGCCTGATCAATTATTGCTAGTGTGTATACTAGGATTGTTAATTCTTTAGCACAGGTTCTTCCCTTTCAGGCGGCTACACAGAAGTTTGTTGTTCGTTCCTGGATTGATGTGACCGACAACAGAGATGATAAACGTAAAAATAAGCTTTACTTAACATCCAAATAAGTCAGCTCATTAATATAACCGAACAGCATAACACATACAGAGAAATAGGTTTTAGGATTGATAGCAAACTCACATATCCTTAAACATTATGTAAAACAAAGCCGGAAGAATTCAGTCAGTGGAGTACATCAAAAGAAAGCAGGTCATGAACCAGTTGCTACTGTTTCAGGAACCTGATGCACCCAAAATTTAGGGAACAAAGTCAGATCTTTTTATACCCATCCTTTATGTGACCTTTCAGATACATGCCCATATCTGACCCTTTCCTAGATCATCATAACCTTTATTTCTGCCCATTATTTATGTGGTATTCCAGATAACCATAATTATAATTCTGATCACTGACCTCAGCAATTTGTGTCAATCAGTTTCTTACTAAATCATATATATCAGAGCAGTCTAGATGCCTAGTTACTATGTTACAAAATATTGCAAAAGCCCCCAACTGTCCTGTTATTTCAAGGTAAGTTTGCAGGCATGCAGTGTATCTGTTTTTCTGCTATCAACTTGTTTGTTTGCAGAATGAGAAGGTACAACTTATGACTTGTGGTTAAGTCCTGAAGCCTACTTTGGATAACTAAAAATCAAGTGTATCACACTAGGCCTTACACTCCATAAATGCCTAATATCCTTCATATTTGTGTTTTCTAATTTTCCCCAGCATGTTTCAAGTTAATAGCATTTCAAACCTATCAACACTATACCCCTGTAGTGTTGTTACAAAGGCAGAACAGGGCATAACAGAGGAGGAGAGTTAATAACTGATCATATCAAGAAGCCTGTTTTGCTTCAGTCCTCACTAAAAAGGTTAATGATGACTAGATACTCAACACAATATTAACAACAAGGGGGGAAGTGACGCAAGCTAAAATAGGGAAATAACAGGTTAAACAATATTTAGATAAGTTAGATGTATTCAAGTCGGCAGGGCCTGATGAAATTTATCCAAGGATACTTTAGGAGTAGCTAAAGCAGTCTCAGGACCGTTATTTTTGAGAACTCACAGAGGACGAGTGGGGTCTCAAAGGAAGGCAGAAGGGCAAACATAGTATCTATCTTTAAAGAGAGGAACCAAGAGGACCCAGGGAATTATAGAGGAGTCAGCCTAACTTTGATAACTCAAAAGATGCTGGAACAAATTATTAAACAATCAGTTGGTGAACACTTAAATTTTTAAGGAATAGCCAGCATGGATCTGTCAAAAACAAATCATGACAAACCACCTTTACTGGATTTTTTGGGCAGGGAGAGGGGGATGCGGAAGAGCAGTAACTGTGATATATATTGGTTTTTGTAAGGCCTTTGACACAGTCCCACAGATATTCTTATAAGCAAACTAGGGAAATGCTGTGTAGATCAGTGGTTCTCAAGCTGTGGGTCGGGACCCCAAAGTGAGTCGCGATCGCATTTTAACAGGGGTTGCCAGGGCTGGCTTAGGTTTGCTGGGGCTCAGGGCTGAAGTCCAAGTCCTGCCGCCGGGGGCCAAAGCTGAAGCCTGAGGGTTACAGGCTTGGGCTTCAGCTTTGACGCCTTCCCTGCCCAGGGCAATGGGGCTCAGGCTTTGGCTCAGTCTTCCCCGCACAGGACTGTGAGAATCAGGCGGACTCAGGCTTTGGTCCCCCCTCCTGGGGTCATGTAGTAATTTTTGTTGTCGGAAGGGGGTCGTTGTGCAATGAAGTTTGAGAATTCCTGGTCTAGATGAAATTACTACAAGGTTGGTGCCCAACTGTTTGAAAGACCGTACTCAGAGTAGTTATCAATAAGGCTAAGATTTAGTCGCGCGTATTTTTAGTAAAAGTCATGGACAGGTCACGGGCAATAAACAAAAATTCACAGTGTGTGACCTGTCCATGACTTTTAATATAAACACCCCTGACTAAATCTTAGCTGCTCCAGGGCCCCACTGCTCTGGGGGGGGGTCCCTGCTGCTGAGGTGGTCCCCGGAGCCAGCTCGTGGGGGGGGGGAGGGGCATGGGATCAGCCACAGTGGCCACTGCAGCTGTGGAATTTCACGGAGGTCGCAGAAAGTCACAGAATCTGTGACTTCCGCGACCTCCGTGACCGGCTCGCAGCCTTAGTTATCGATGGTTTTCTGTCAGACTGGGAGGGCGTATCTAATTGGGCCCACGGGTCAGTCCAAGGTTGCTACTATTCAATGTTTTCATTAGTGACTTGGAAGATGGAGGGGAGAGCGTACTTATTAAATTTGCAGATGACACTTAGCTGGGAGGCGTTGCAGGCACTTTTGAGGACAAGATTAGAATTCAAAACAACCTTGACAAATTGGAGACTTGATCTGAAATTCAATAAAGACAAGTGCAAAGTACTTCACTTAGGAAGGAAAAATCAAATGCATAATTACAAAATGGAGACTAACTGGCTAGGTGGTAGGACTGCTGAAGAGAGTCTGGGGTTCATAGTGGATCACCAATTGAATATGAGTCAACAATATGAAGCAGTTGCAAAAAAAGACTAAAATAATTTTGGGTGTGTTTTAATAGAAGTGTTGTATGTAGGACATAGGAGGTAATTGTCCCACTCTATTCAGTGCTAGTAAGGCCTCAGCTGTAGTAGTGTCCAATTCTCAGCACCACACTTTAGGAAAGATGTGGATAAATTGAAGAGAGTCCAGAGGAGAGCAACAAAAATGACGAAAGGTTTAGAAAAGCTGACCTATGAGGAAAGGTTAAAAAAACTGGACATGTTTAGTCTTGAGAAAAGAAAACTGATGGGGGCCATGATAAGTCTTCAAATATATTATGGGCTGCTGAAAGAGGACTGTGATCAGTTGTTTTCCATGTGCTCTGAAGGTAGGACAAGAAGTAATGGGCTTAATCTGGAGCAAGGGAGATTTAGGTTAGGTGTTAGGGAAAACTTCCTAACTATAAGGGTAGTTGAGGTCTGGAATAGGCTTCAAAGGGGTATTGTGGAATCCCCGTCATTGGAGGTTTTTAAAAACAGGTTAGACAAATGTGTGTCAGGGATGGTCTACGTAAACATGGTCCTACCTCAGTGCAGGGGGCTGGACTTGATGACTTTTAAAGGTCCTTTCAAGCCCTATTTCTATGATTCTGTGATAAGTAACTTTTTCCTTTCCCAGCTGGATAGTAACACATTTCCTGCTAATGAAGCAGAGATAATGAGCAGCAAGAGAATGTTGCCTTAAAAATAAACCAGCACCTATGATTTCTCTTTTCTTTAATGCTTATGGGATGTCCACAGCATCACCCATCTGCATTATCAGCACCATCTACATTGCATTATTCTCCCCTTAACGGTAACATTTTCATTCTGTGCCCTGAGAACTGACAAGTATTTAAAATACAGTTAACTACTGTACAGCGTACAGTAAATTGAGCCTTGTAAGATACTTTTAATGTGTGTACAGTTATGTTTAGTTAAAACATGCAGTGCCTAGGAATGAATCTAGCTTTCAGTAGTGCGAGAGATGTAAGACAGGCATGCACATGTTTTAGAATCAGCATACCTTAAATCTGTTGGTTTCTAAATCAAATATTGGAAATCTCTAAGGGTGCTCTGAACAGAGGGAAGTTGGTTATTAGTGCTTGGACAAGTAGAAAATATTTTAATGTTAAATGTTTTCATTTGAGTTTGCTTTGGGTAACAGTATCCAGGCCCTCAGGAAGCTGAGGTACAAATGTGCATGCAAAACCAATAGCTGTTCCTGACCCTTGTAAATACATGGAAACTGCGGAGAGAGACGGATGTGATGGTGTGATCAGTTTAACTCTTTAGCACTAGGCTTGTTGAGCAATGCTGTTAATTGAGAAAATCCAGATGCCCAGCATCAAATTACAGTGAATAAATCAGCCATTGAAGATGAGCTAACTAATATGAGACATATTCCATATACAGTAGGCACTCACTAGAACACCCTTCGCAGTAGTGAACCTTGGGCTATAGCAAACATGGTCCCTGGATTCCATCTCCAGCCCTGCCTGCTGTGGTGGCGGGGCTGAGAGCTCCTCCTGCCTCAGGGCTGCGGGGGGAGGGGAGGGCCTGACACTCCTCCAGCCCAGGGTTACGGTGGTGTCCTGCAGTGCACTCCTCCCTGAGGCTGAAGGAGCCTCTCTCCCCACTGCAGCCCCATGCCGGAGGAGCTGTTTCTCCTCCTTTCACTATAACCAACCCCTGGCTATACTGAAAAAATGACTTGGATCCCCAGGGGTTCATTATAGCAAGGGGGTACTATATGTCATAATAGAGACATTTGGTTTGGCTCCACTCTCCATGTGGAGACATTAAATGTGACCGTTGTCTTTGTGTGACATGAGCATTGTACCGAACATGACTGCGCCCATACCCTTAGCTCTTTTGCTGCTGTACGCAGGTGTGAGTTTTTTGCTTAATACTGGCTTTGTCCTTATGTTTCTTTTGCAGCTTGTTATGGAATTTTGTGGAGCAGGCTCTATCACGGACCTTGTGAAGAACACAAAAGGGAACACTCTAAAAGAAGACTGGATAGCGTATATCTCCAGAGAGATTCTCAGGGTGAGGAGGATAGTCTATTGTGTCTGGAAAAAATACAATCCTATTTCTGTACTAACACAGGTGCAACCTAAGAACGATGTCTAGGTTGAGCTTCTACGAATAAAAGCCTCAAATTGCTGCTGTGTAGTATAATGGCAATCTTGCTGAAAAGTGGAGAACTGTGTCATAGGAAACCATTTTCCATATCGCTGTAGCACACTGGCTAATATAACACCTCAGTACCAACAATAACAGAATAAAAAATGAGATTTAGGCTGCCACTTTCAGAAGTGCTCAGTACTGGCATTACCTCCATTCCTCTTGAAGCCGGTGGGAGTTGAGTGAGGCCAATACTGCATGCCTTTGAAAATCCTACTCTTAATGTTTACACATGAATCTGTTCCGAAAGTAAGGCAGAATGCAAACTGGTGTGTTCAATTAGGCACCTCTAGTACTGGAGTACAGTACTAAGTAATTGTACTTTTTTGAAAGATGGCTGCCATCTACAGTAGTTTGAAAAATGGAGGTTTTTGGTTCGTTACTTTTCAAGTTTAATTTCCAGCTGGTACAAGTGAATAGTGTCTCTTGATTTGGCATTTGATTGCTATGCTGAGTAAAACTGGTCCAGCTTTCCATGGTTAATTTAAAAAGCAAAAACCCTCACAACCTTACCCTCAGTATGGTATGTGAATAGAATTGCTCCAGTAATAATCCCTGTAGTTAAGGGAATTATGTTAAAGAAAAGCATAAGTGGTCTTTACGTAAATCATTGCTTCTGGAATCCACATTTGTCCACTGTGCATTTGTACACTTCTAGCAGAGTGATTTTGGGGGAGATGAGGGAGCAAAAGAAAAATCTTGGCTTCCTGCCCAAACTCTGAGCGATGGTGCAAAGTGCTGCTGTTGGGCATTTGGGCACATTTTTTATTCTTGTTTACTAGCAAATAGGAATGTGGGTGACATGAATACCCGATGGCAGCTGTATTTTAGTCACATGGATAACTGACTTCAGTATTGTAACATTTAGCTTGACCAATGTTAAAGTTATATTTGCTCTGCAACACTTATAAGACTGTATGTAAATTCTTTCTGAAGTGCAGCATACAATGTTGTGCACATTCTAGGTCCCCATCGGGTAAGGATGTGAAGCCACATTCCGTGTATAATAAAGAGAATGAAAGTTAGATGGGCTAGTGGGCTAAAGATTTGTGCAAGTGAAAACCTAGGGGAGCGTATGCCAAGTGGTGGTGGGGCAACTGTTCAAAATTTGAATTGAAAGAAGTAACTAGTCTTTGACCTTTCTCTGTCCTCTTATTCCATCCCAAACACACATGGACTTTTTCATATGATTGGATATAAAGAGGTGAGAACACATGACTATCTCCCTGGCTGGTGCAGTGTGGCATGAGGCTTTGCAGATTGTTGTGCCAAGCCAGGGCAACCAGAAGCCTTAATTTTCACAGGAAACAAATTTAACCTTAGTGTTAATGCCCAGCAGATGATGTCAAGGACATTAAACGTTCATAGCATTAGCTCGTAACCTCTGCAAGGAGGAGTTCCAAACTGTATTGTTTGTCATACTTACTAACGGTTTAAAAAAAGACTAGCCAAACTGGTCAATGAGTATTTAATGAAGAACATGTGTTAGAAAATACTGTTTTACAGCAACTTACTGCTCTTTTAACCTTCTGTAACTGTAAAGTAAAAAAAAAAATTAAAAATATGTGAGGGGAGCATGAGCAAGCAAGATGATGCCACTAGAGAGTATAATTTTCCAAACTGATTGCTGGAGAGAAACCAAAATCAAGTCAGTTGCTGAGACGTTTGTTCGTTGCTCCACAAATTGCAGTAGACAGTAAAATACCACATACATCTTACTCCTCCCCCCCTCCACAGGACTTGTGCAGTGTGATGCTTTGGGGCATGCATCCAGGTGCTGTATCCACAAAAAGCACCATCTGCCAGTAGGTTTTGTTTCCTTTGGACAGTATAAAATGCTCTTTTTTTTTATGTGGTCTGTTTTGAAGGAGAATGATTAGAGATCAAATGTATGGAGGTTAAACAACAGAACTGTAACTTAACACGTGTGCTGTTGTCTGTTGCCAGTATCCTTTTATCCCCAAACATAAAATGTGTACCCCCATTTCTTCTTGTGAGCTATCTCACATTAAAATATAGGTGGGTTGGTTCATTTCCCATGCTACATTCCTGTTCTTCTAAGGGTGACTCTATGTGACTGAACTCCAATTTCATTGCATTGAAATGTCATGTAATCTAAAATTCCCTAAAAGCTACAGCTAAAAAGCATTTGTTGGACTTTAATTGTGTACAGTATGTGCACAACCTGAGGCCTTCCTCCCTGCTAGCTTATGAAAATGTAGGCGGGTGGCACATTGCTAGAAGTCTACTGTGGATCATGTTTCATGCATTCAGGACAGGACCCCAAGAGCCACTGGAGAACGGTGTGGGCTCTTTTTAAAACATCTCCCAGGGTAACTAGTTAAGTATGTTGTCTGTGTCAACTCAGACTTTTTATGAGATTGTTGCTGCAAAGCTAAGAGCCTAAACCTAGTTGTCTTCCTTTTTTAAATGAAGGGATTGGCACATCTTCATGCCCACCATGTGATTCACCGGGACATCAAAGGGCAGAATGTACTGTTAACAGAAAATGCAGAGGTGAAGCTTGGTAAGTAGGCAAGCATGTTCACTTCCTGGTTTGTTTGTTTTTTGCATGTTCCCTAACTTTATTTGATCTCTTAGGAGTGTGGCATGCTCTTTAGTACAGTAATATATCCTGTGTCATTGCTGCAGTCTGAGTCAGGACACTGGCCTTATTCCCTCCCCGTCTCTCAAGGAATGCAGGGATTCTTGCGGTTGTTGCTGGAGATTGTTGGCTCTCATACCAAAATCAGTGGATGGATCACTCCATGTCCTTCACTTATTCTTTGTATGACTCTACAGGTCAGCTTAGGGCCAGAATTGGTTCTGCTTCCATTGAATTTGGGCTTAGAAGCCAATGGCACAAAATTAGGACATGGTGGGTATCATTTTGTATCTGCGTTCAGTTAAAGAAGTGTTGGCTGCTCAGGTGACAGACCCAAACATCTACGTAATGTGTACAGCACTCACAATTGGTCTGAGGCAGAAAGTCTAAGTTGGGTCCAGCCCTAGAATGCCCGTTTGGAACATTTGAAGCTATCCTCATTCCTGGCCACTTCTGTTCTAGACAGAGGAGTTCACATGAGATCTGTTCTTTTATCCCTATCCCCAACCACTTACAAATTTAATTTCTCAGACATGTACTGTGTAGTTAGTGGTTTATACATATTGAGGTTTAACTACATGTTTGTTTTGATACTCGTCCGCCAGGCTCCACATGGGGGGGATGCTTCCATGCTGATTTATTTTGCCTCTTTAAGTTACTACACATTTTAATGTTGTGTGTTTGTTGTACAGTAAGGTTGCCACCTTTCTTTTGGTGAAATATAGACCCAAGTTCAGGACCTCCCGCCCAGCCCACACCTTCCTTTTAGGTGGAACTCTGAAAGATGCCTTGTCTGCTGGGATGGAAGTGCTCCGGGGAGCTACCCATTCCTTGGGTCTTCTAAGCAGGACACAGCAGCTCCTATACTGTTGGTTCAATGGGGCTTGTCTACACAGGTTTTGCACTGATTTAACTAAATTGGTAGAAAAACAGATTTAGTTAAATGAGTGCACACCTAATACCAGTGTTTCTCAAACTGGGGCCGCCGCTTATGTAGGGAAAGCCCCTGGCTGGCCGGGCCAGTTTGTTTACCTGCCCCGTCCGCAGGTCCGGCCGATCGCGGCTCCCACTGGCCGCGGTTCACTGCTCCAGGCCAATAGGAGCTGCTGGAAGTGGCGGCCAGTACGCCCCTGGGCCCACACCGTTTCCAGCAGCCCCCATTGGCCTGGAGCGGTGAACCGCGGCCAGTGGGAGCCGCGATCGGTCGGACCTGCGGACGGGGCAGGTAAACAAACTGGCCCGGCCCGCCAGGGGCTTTCCCTACACAAGCGGTGGCCCCAGTTTGAGAAACACTGCCTAATATGGATGCAGTCACACCATATGAAGGGGTTTGTATCTATATAGTTTGGTGCATTACTTTTACACCTACCAAAACAGTTAAACCAGTATAACCATGTCTGTGCAAGGGCAGTTGCATTGATTTAATAACATTGTTTTTCTACCGATTTAATTAATCAGTAACTGCAAAAGCTGTGTGTAGATGAGCCCCGAATTAGTACCTTTTGAACTGCGCTCCGCATTTGCTTCCCACTGTGCCTCATTCACATGTGTTAGGACAGGAAGCAGTCACTGTGAGCAGTGCTTGATTTTCTCTCCTGAATTTTGGGCAGAGAGAGTGGAGGACCAAATGGTGGCCCAGCTGACCTGGTGGTGCTGCCACACGATGAGAGCATCTGTGGAAAGCAGGGTCGCTCTGGATAAGCCAAGACACCCTGTCTTATGATTAATGGAGATGGCAAGTCTCCCTCTTCCCCCAAGACAATATGTTTTCTCTGCTATGGGAAGGGAGCTCCACAGATAATGGGAAGACTGCACTGACAGCCCAGTGAGAGGTCCTGAAGAGCTAGTTGTGTTTTGCTCTTTCTCCTGACTTTTGTGGTCTGATGCCTGAGGACACTGGCAAGTCTGAGTATTAACATTAATGGTTTCTCCTGAACATGGCTCTCCCACATGGCTCTCCCACATGGATCTTCCACATGGGGTTTATTTTCCAAATTATCTTAGAGAAGTAATCGCAGCACGTTTTTTCCCCCTCTTATTTTATTTTAATCTTTTTTCCACCCACAGTGGATTTTGGTGTTAGTGCTCAGCTGGACAGGACGGTTGGCAGGAGAAACACATTTATTGGAACCCCATACTGGATGGCTCCAGAAGTTATTGCCTGTGATGAAAATCCAGATGCTACTTATGATTACAGAGTAAGAAAGTTCTGTTCACACAGTAATAATATAGTGATATCTAGTGTCTAATAACCATGAGTGAAGGCAGCTCTTATATTTGTCTCTGTGTATGGTTGTGAGAGTGATTTCTTGTAAAGGTAAATCTGTGTAGCGTGAGTACAAAGAACAGATCATTACTAGATGATCATAATTAATAACACTGTAGAATCATAGAATGTCAGGGTTGGAAGGGGCTCAAAGCTCAAAGCAGGGCTAATCCCCAGACAGATTTTTGCCCCAGGTCCCTAAATGGCCCCCTCAAGGATTGAACTCACAACCCTGGGTTTAGCAGGCCAATGCTCAAACCACACAGGTTTCCCTGTATTTGTAACTTGTACTGCAGTAGCTCCTAAGAGCTTCAGTCAGGGACAGGGATCCCCTTGTGCTAGGCACAGTAAAAAATGGTATAGAAAGAGTCTAACAAGAAATTTTGTTGTTTTTGATTTCTGTGAATATCTTAGCATTGTAATTTGTTTAATATATCCTGCTTATTGTGGTAAGATCAAAACAATACATTTTAACATTTGCCTTAAATAGAGTCCCCAGCTGAAATGCATCTTTTTGCCAGAATAGAAGAGTTAAGTTACAATGTAATACAGAAGGAGCTGGTTAAGCATGTGCTGTTCTGATTTGAGAGATCATCTGAATGTTAATCACTGTGGCTGGGCACAGCTCTCCACTTTTGTCTTCCTGCACAAATGGCTTTACCACCTCTGGTTTGTAACCCACATCATGTGTTTTATTTTTGTTATATCAGCCAGCCAACACCCCTTTACAGTCCCATGCAGCAATTCTATTTAAAGGGACATACAATCATCATCCCCTTTTGCCAGAGAGAAGAGAGCTCTCTCCACACAGAGATCTCCCATTACGTTAGTCTTGCTGGGCTTTCTCTCTCCCTCTCTTGCACTTCCTTCCTGTGCTTCTTTTCTACACTTACAGTTAATGGGCTAATTATCTCCTTAGTTCTCCCCAGCTGAGGCTGATCTAGTAACTAGTCACCCCTTCCCTCAATCAAGCCCCCTTCTGGAGTGGGGGGAACTAATTGGATTTACAGTGACCAGAGTGCTGGTTCAGCTGCTTGTTCTCAGCGCTCTGTCACAATCACATAGAAGATTTATCCATCAAACACTATATTTCTCCAAAAATTAATTGGACACAACTGCTCCTGCACTGAGCTGCAAGCATCAAATCTAACCTCCCTAAAAGTTAAATTGGCTTGATGGTATTTACACCAAAAGTTTTTTTTTGTTTTGTTTTTGCTACATCTTCTAAAGCTAAATTCCTTTATAGAAGCTTTCTGGAAATCTCTCAAGTACATTTTAGCTTGTTTCAGGGAGCCACAAGAGAAGGAATAAAATATGAAATGTGTTTTTAATCTTTACTCAGACTAATGCATCTCTTCAAACATTAAAACTAGGAGAGGTAGCTAGGAAATGTGAAAGTCTGCGATTATAGTTACATCAAGAGCATTGGAGCTAGTGCATTGGGGTTGATAACGCAGGTTAGATATATGAATGTCCATGGTTGATGATACGCACACCTGAACATCTAGCTAGGATTGAGCCCATTTGTCTTGACTAATAACTTTACATATTCCTTGCCCTGATAGAGATCTGTGAAAAAATGTAATCCCTTTCAGGGTGGAGTTGATAAGACATAAGGGTGAAGGTTAAAGGAAGATAACAGACTTCAATAGATAAAAATTATTCTGAGGGGGAGAAAACCCCCAAACTAATCTACATGTTTAATAATTAAAGGGGATCAAATGTAAAGGAATTCCACGAGGCATACAAAACCTGTGATTTATGCTCATGTCTCTTAAAACACTCCCTTATTGCTCCTGATGTGAAGTGGAGGTACTTCACATAGAGACATCTCAATATCCTCCTACTACATATTCTATTTCTTAGAAAATTAGTGTTTTACAAGCTTACTTTAATCATTGCAACTGATGGGTTGAGCCAGAACAAACTGGTGCCTGGCTGGGAAGCTTCTGGGGCCTGAAAATGCAGTTGTTCCATTGCTTGGAGCTAATGGTGAGCACAGAGAAGAGTTTGTTCACCCATTCCAGTATGTCTTCCCATATTCTAAAAGGATTATCAACCTGGAAGCTCTGAGCACTATTTTCCTCAACGGTAGTTCTCTTCCCCACATCCCGAATGGAGGTGATATTGTCTCCTGTCAGGACCTACTGTAGCCCCTTGAGCTCAGTCCATTCCAGGACTCTTAAGCAGTTACTTATTTTTGGTGTTCCTATGGTGGAAGAGAATCTCTAAACCATAGTTCTGATTCAGCAGGGAATGCAGTTATCCTCTGGTCCTAGTGGCTATCCAGTGCTAATATCCTGAAAGATTTCCATTCCAGGATCCCCCTTGTGTAATGACACAAATAATACGAGATTGCTGGGATGAGGCGCTCACTCTGGCCACCAGTGGTTCATGGAACAGTAACTTCTTACTTTTCTTGGGCACATGGGCGGTTGCCTGTGTCTCCTGACATTAGGAATTCATGCTGCTAAGACATGTTCTAATTTTATTGGGCAATGTAAAGGTAGAGGTTTGGCTGAACTGCCAATAAGCAATGATGGGCTCATTTAAAAAAAAAATCCCTACATAAAAATACTGTTTAGATTATCAACAGAAGAAAAGAATTTTTTAAAATCTAATTTTTAGAACTATTTTATTTAAGGTTTTGTATTTCTGATAATTAACACATCTGAAAACTGACTTCTTGGTTTCACTTTTGTTCCTAGTCTATGCATTTTCAGGATCTCATATGCTAGGAGAGGGCTGCAATGTTTGGATTGCAAATACTACCGGGAAATGTTCACCTCTTACAATAACTGTATCCAGGGAAATATAATTATTTTTTACAGAACTTAACTTTTGGTTAATTATGACCTAATTATGTCTTGAAATGTCCTAATATGAAAGTGTTTGTATACTATTAAGAAATTATGTGTGCATAATTGTATGTGTGTGTATATAACACAAATGCTGTATGGCATCATATTTAGCATTTTATATTAGGGCTAAAAGAAGAAAAGCCATTTTAAAAACTGTTGTTTAAATAACCTTGGTAGCTGGTTTTAGTTTCTTACCTGCAGTGCATTAGTAGATGCCATTACGTAGTATGACAATGAGAAAGTGTACCTACTAACATATGGTCTCTTTCTTTGCAGAGTGACCTTTGGTCATGTGGCATTACGGCCATTGAAATGGCAGAAGGAGCTCCCCGTAAGTGATATGTGTGCTTTTTCCTAAGGGGCTCATTAAGACAGAAACGTATACTTATGAGTTGCTGGTTGTAATTCAAACCCAGTTTTGAGGTTTCTGAAAATGCACTGATGGTGTATCTATACTCCTTGGTTTTTCCTGCACCAATAATATAAAATCCTACAAATGGCAACTCTCTTGATAAAGCTACTACTACAGTGTGAAAGCATTACTGTGCAGAGATTGTAATTGTAGTGGTGTAATAGCAATGACAGGACTATTTGGAAGCCAATGGGTCTGTAAACTTCCTGACCATGAGCTATATTAGGCTTTGGAATTGTCCATAGGGAAGTGGTGAAAGCCCGACTGCTTGGGATATTTAAAACCAGACTGGGAGAAAAAAATGCTAAAAGTGTACTGGCTTAAAAAATCTTGCTCTGTCAGGGAGATGGACTGCATGGCTTAGTAGGTCCTTTCTATCTCTGATTTACATGAGTCTGTGTAATGGTAACATTCTTCTTGAACTCTGAGACTTATCTATTTAAATCTCCTCTTATGAATGTTTTCGTTTTCATTGGACAGAGTAAAAGACTCTTGGAAGACTGTGGTTTAAATTATAGACTTAGCTTTAACACTGTCAGTGAAGAACTTTTAAAAGCAGACTATTTGAGTATATTCAGCTGCCAAGCCTGATGATTTTTGAGGGGTAAAATTAAAAACTAAAAATGCCTAACTTTTCCATGGTGCTTTTTTCTCTCTCACGTCCTCTGTGAAGATTAACAAAGCATAAAGCTGACAGCAGCAAGGGGAGCAAAAAACAAGAACTTAGTTACAAAAAAAGAAAAATTGCTATCATTTTTTTTTAAAGTAACTATTTTACTTGTAAAACTGCAAATTGGCTTTTTTCCTACCACCCCATTCTGACATTCAGGGGTGTGTTGACTTTTGTCTAGACTCAAAATGGTAGCTTCATTGTAGCCCATGCTTACAACTCTGATTTTTAAATCTAACGTACAGCTGAGTGTTCTTATTCACATTCATGTTTTAAGAGATCTGATGGGTTTTTCTCATAATTATATTTGCATGGGTCCAAATCTACAGAGGCTTCTCCCAGGATGAATCAACTAGCACAAAGCTAACAGCATTAGAACCACTATTTGGCTACTAGTCTGCATGTAACCGTAGTTCTTTAGGTTTCTTAAACCACTTTTTGGTTCAGATCATGTGCATATTTTTTGCTCTTCATCCAGTGCTAGTCCCTATTGTATTCCACTGAGGGTTTACACATGTGCACTGTGTCTGTAGCCAGAGATTTTGGAAGTAGTAGCTTCTGTTGGTCCGTGCATGCGCCCTTGGCTCACCTCATGGTTTTGTCTGAGGTGACAAAGGGAGGGGCAGACTGATCACATCCCCAGTTTCTTCTTACTGCTGCGTGGTCTGGGTTGGAATTATTAGTGTCCTCTTGCATGTGACGCACCTTAAAAATATACAATTGAACATAGTTAGTTTTTAGAGTAGTTTACTGTTTCTATTGTTTTTATAGTAGTTTTTAGAAGTTTGCTAGTTTTAGGAGTAGAATTAGGGTTCTTTCTGGAGAGTTTCGTTCCGCGTGGACCCTCCCACTGATGCCCACATGTGGGTACTGGACTATGCTGAAAACCTCAGTCTTTAAAATCTGTGCCTCCTGCCCGCATTCCTTCTCGGTCTGTGACAAACATCAATGCTGCCTCTACTGCTTGGGAGAAGTCCACATTGCATTCAGGTGCAGTATCTGCCAGTGCTTCCCCAGCCATACCCGAGAAGGTCGGGCTCTCTGCCTCTGGAAGCCCCTCATGGAAGTCGCCGTGAGACCTCATTCAGAGCCTGTCTGGGTAGCCTCCACTGTACACCGGCCTGGGGCTGCCAGGAGTACGCCTCCAGCTATGGAGTCTGAAGTCAGCACTGGTGGTACCACCGCTATGGACCATGCGCCAGGATCTAGCTGAGAGGTAAGGAAGCATGTGGTACTCTCTTCCCTCCAGTGTCGGATGGACCCGCGTCAGGTTTGTGTGGGGGTCCCCTTTCTCCCATCTTCCCTGGACAGGGTGATCATCACCAATGCCATCCCTTGTAGGATGGGGAGCGCACACAGATCACATGACACAGGGAACATGGACCCCTTGGGAATCCAGGATGCACATCAACATTCCAGAATGCCGGGTTGTACGGAAGGCATGCCGAGTATTTCTCCCATCCATCCATCCCCATCGTATTCTTGTCATGTCGGACACCACTACCACTTTTTACCACATCAACAAACAAGGGGGCACAAAATCAACTGGTCTCTATATGGAGGTGATCAACCTCTGGAATTGGTGCATCACCCACCAGATCCTGTTATCTTCAGCTTACCTCCCAGGGACTCAGAATGTGATTGCAGACTCTCTCTCGGCAGACGATTTGTAATCGATCATGAGTGGGAACTCCACAACACCGTAGTATGAAATATCTTCAACCAATGGGGGATTCTGACCAGGAACCTCTTCAACTCTGCAGTCAACAACAAATGCAGCACTTACTGCTCCAGAGGGTAGTGGTCCCTTCCCTCAGGGTGATGCGCTCATACTCTGCTGGTCGGACCAGATTAACTATACCTTCTCCCCTCTACAACTTCTGCCACGAGTACTCCAAAAGATCAGGTAGGTCAGAGCAATGGTCATCTTGATTTTCCCATGCTGGCCCAGACAGTTCTGGTTTCCCAACCTACTCCACATGTCAGCCCATCCCCACTTTCTCCAAGCTACTGAGGCAACACCACAACAGGATCAGATATGCAGATGCTTCACCTCAGGGTGTGGTATTTGGATGGGCATCTTCTTTAGAACGGGTGTGCTCATGAGAAGTCCAAAATATCCCCTTGAGCAGCAGGACAGAGTCCACTAAGCATTCCTACCAGGCCAAGTGGAACCACTTCACCCCCTGGGCCCAACAGAAGGGGCTTTCCCCAGAAGAGGGGCCGATTCCCCTATTTTTGGATTACCTCCTGCCCTTGAAGGCTTTGCATCTCTCCCTCAAGATATATCTAGCGGTAGTTAGTGCCTTCCACCGCGCCATGGAGGGACACTTTGTATTTACACACCCATTGACTGCTAGGTTTCAGAAAGGCCTCATCGGAACCATCGCACCCTACAGCCTATTGCTCCCTAGTGGGACCTTAACCTCGTTCTGTTGGCACTAATGAAACAGCCCTTCAAGCTGCTGGCTTCATGTTCTATGTCCCTCCTTTCCATGAGAGTTGCCTTCCTTGCAGCTGTCTCTTCGGTGAGAAGGGTAGGTGAGCATGGGGCCATGATGGCAGACCCTCCTTTCACCACTTTCCATTAGGATAAAGTCTCTCTGAACCTACACCCCAAATTTCTGTCAAAGGTCGTATCCAAGTTTCATCTCAACCAGCCCATCCACTTACCTGCTTTTTTTCCGAAGCCTTACACCTCAGAAGAGGAGCGACAACATCATATCTTCGGCATCCATCGGGCCTTGGCCTTGGCCTTCTACCTGCAGAGGACAAGACAGATCAGGAAATCTCCTAGATTGTTTATCGCTATAGTTGACAGAGTTAAAAAACAGGCAATCTCCACACAGGAATATCTAAATTAATTTCGGGGTGCATTCCACTGTGCTATCAGTGTCAGGATTGCCTCCTTCCCCCCAGGGTGAGGGCCCCTTCCATGAGAGCCCAGATTTTGACCACAGCCACCCTCTAAGATGTGCTGGTTCAGGACATATGTAGGGTGGCCATGTGGAGTTCAGTACATACCTTCTCTACGCATTACTGGGTGCAGGACTCTGCTATGGACGCCTTATTTGGCATGGCTGTCCTCTACTCAGCTGTTCCTCATCCTCACACCCTCCTCTAATGTCGATACTGCTTGTTAATCACCCTCAGTGGAATACAAATAGGGACTATCATGCGAAGAAGAGGAGGAGATTACTTACCTGTAATTGGAATCTCTTCAAGATGTGTGGTCCCTATCTCTATTCCACTTCCTGGCCTCCTTCCCCTCTGCTGCGGATCGGTTGGATTTGTGGGGGAGAAGGAACTGAAGGCATGGTCGGTCCACCCCACCTTTTATCACCTTGGATGAACCATGAGGTGAGCCAAGGGCACATGGATGGACCAACGGACACTACTACTTTCAAAATCTCTGGGTCTGGATGCATGATGGAATACAGTGGAATACAGATAGGGACCATATATCTCCAGTTACAGGTAAGTAACCTCCTCTTGTTTTAATTAAATCTCTGTCACTGGGCTCCGTAAGCCTGTGTGTGCATTTCACCTGATTGATATTATATATTATATATATTGATATTATATTATATATTATAATAATTGATATTACTTCATGCTAAACTGTTGGGTTCAGATTGGCCCCTCTTACAGAAGAACCCACAACGGGGTCTGTTGGGGGAGGAAATGAGTTATAATGAACCCCTCACCGGTATCCTCTCTGGTCATTCCTTTAGGTTTGCTCTCCCTGTAGGGTAGTTTGAGAGATCCACTGCCAAGCATGGGAGATTAGGGCCATCTGCACAGAGTCCTTTGCCCCCTACCATATCCAGCCTTCAGCACCTCCTTTTCCCCTTCACTCATTGGTAGTGGTGTTCAGCTGAAGTTGAGATACCAGGATGTCCTCCTTTGCCACAGGGGCCTTTGCTCCTGGCCTCATTTTGGCCCCCAACCTGCTATGTCTCTATCCCCACCACCTTTATGGATCCTGACACTACAGAGTGCTCTTGTGTTTGGAGAACGGTGTTTGGAGAACGGGGACAGTGCTGCAGAAGAGGCTGACTCTCCCTTCCATGAGGGAGGTGGAGATCTCTGCACAGAGGTCCCCTCCATGTTTGGATCTGAGGGGATAATCTAGGCCTTTATTTTTGTCCGCATTAAACTCAGAGTTAGGGGCAGAACTTTTGTCTTAACTTTTGCATTTCAGTTTAATTCTGCTTAATGTCATTCCTGTGTCCATCACGTGTAGGGGTTGGTGATGGGGAAATGTCTATGAAAATGAAATAATCCTGAAGTGAAGACATTGAAAATGCAGAATCAGGAGAACTGGAAAAACAACTGAACAAAAAATTTTTTTTTTCCAGCCCTCTGTGACATGCATCCAATGAGGGCGCTGTTTCTTATACCCAGAAACCCTCCTCCACGGCTAAAATCCAAGAAATGGTATGTAGAGGCTACTGTGTTTTCTGTAGTCTGTTTCATTATGTCCTTTACATACATAGCACTTTCTTATCTTTTATTTCATGGCATGCTTTTTTGTTACCATTTCCATGAACTGTAAAATAATTTAGGCTGGCTAAAATCAATCTTTTTATTATCTTCTACACTATTAAATCAAAGCACAAAATGAGATGTGCATTGATTATTTTTTAGCTCTATTTTTTTTCAGCGAAATTTTGTCTTTTGTATCATGAGACAAAAATGAGCTGTTCTGTTGACAGAGCAGCATCATATTAAGGTGACAAATTATACCACAGCTCAAAGCCTAGACTTCTGCTGCATTCCTAATATGCAATATCTTTTCTAAGATACAGTATTATAAAGAAACAGGACAGTGCCATTGACTTCTAGATGCTGAGTTGAAAGGAACTATTAAAATTAATGAAGGCTTTTACTATAATTATTGCAAACGATTGAAATTGTTCTTCTTGCCAGCTGGGAATAATCCCTTAACAATACAGGATTTTCCTCCCCATTATTAGATACAAATGATTTGTATGAAGCAATAATTTTCACTAGAATGAGGGTTTATGTAGGTTGAACATAACCTTAAAATTGTCAATGAAAGCCTCAACGTTAACAAAAGTAATGCTTTACTGTGCTTTCTTCTTAAGTTAAGGAAAAGTGTGTGTGTGAGTTTGTTACATACAAGAAATATGCCCTCTGTGAATGGAAATTGTATGACTATGAGGTTGAATGCTAGAGTCCTGTCAAAAAAGAAATTAGTAAAGTGATGTGACCAGTTACACCGATCTATAAATAATATAATTAACTCTATTGACTTGGTGCACTGGATCACTGTTTGGAATGCTGGAATGACTTTCTCATACAGTAATTACTATTGGAACATCTGTGTGAGTGTGTTTATTTTAAATAATTCTTTATAAAACATCGAGTTTATGAATTCATACCTATTCATAGAGTTTTGAAAAAGGATGAAAAAATGTTTGTTTTAGATGTAAGCTTTATCTGTAGTGTTTATAACCCCAACATTGCAGCATTTTGCTAGTGCATAAGAATCAGAAAGTTAAACTGGCTAAAAACAGCATTGGTACGATAGTGTTTTTACTCAGAAAGGTGAATGAAGGGCAAAAAGTAAACAGGATAAGTGATGAAAAATACAATTTTAAGCATTATTTTCACTCTGTTTCTAAAGTTTTGTTAGAAACAGAGGTAAGGGGGGAAAATAATTATTTTTATCCTGAAAGTGTCTCTTTAAGAATGCCTCGTGTACTCCTGGGGGCATTCTGCAGCAAAAAATTAAAAATTCTGTGCACAATATTTTAAAATTCTGCAAATTTCATTTGTCAAAATAACACTGCATAATTGCCAGTTTCAATTATTTTGGTAATTTATTTCAAAATACCTATCAGCAAGTATGTCTGTAACAATACAAACACACACAAAAATTCCCCCAGGAGTAAAGAGTTAAAGAAGCCCCTATGACAACCTAGTTCCTGCTTCTCTGCCCCTTCTCTCTTCCCTCCCCCCATCCCCCGAGCCCGAGCTGGGGGGGCCCCCCC